AATCTGTATCAAGAATACACGACTAATGAAGGAACTTTTAGATGTAGAACAAGTAAATGATTGAAAGGTGTCAGACACTGGAACATGAATAAAGAATGCAATGGTCACAGAAACAAACAATCAACCAAAAAAAAAGAAAAAATCAAATATAGCAATACAGATACCCTACGTGATGCTAAAGTCACAGGAGTACCACCACCCCAAAAAAAAAAAACAGACTAGTGGAGGAAAAGAGCCATCTATAATTCCCAAATAGAAGTGGAAGGGAAAAGAACTTGGTACAAGACAATGTTCCAGCCCAGAAGATCCCAAAAGCAAAGAAGCATATTTGTGGGGAAACAGCCAAAGATCATAATCACCCCAACATGGAGGTAAGAAGGAGGAAAGTATCCCATGAAATATCCCAAGAAATACTTGGAATGCCTCAGAATGGAGATGTAAGGAAGCCAATACCAGTAGGAGAGGCAACAGGGGAAAACTTGGCTAGGGATAATTGGATAGGGTTAACAGATCCTACCTCCATACAGGCAACAGAGGTTCGAAGTGCAGAAAAGCAAGAAAACAAAAAAAAATCTGTCTGATGGTAAGCTAATGCAAAATGAACCAAAGCTCTTGGAGAGTGAGGTATGCCAGCACCATCTCTCAAAAGAGAGACAAAAAGGCCCAGCATGAACCAAAATGTCTGGAAAAGGAGGGAGAAATAAAAAACAAAAACTATGAAACGTGTATAAAAAGAGCTGTGGTAGGCCTAGTAAACTCTGCAATAGAAGCTAGGGAAGGACAATACAGAATCAGGTAGAGAAAAATTGTCAAAATAGATGTTGTCCCAATTGAGTTTGGCATTTTTAGGAGAAAGGCATAAAACCAAAAAAGTGAAGAACAATAAAGGTAAGTTATCACTTAAAATAGGTAAGGTGAAGCAGATAAAAACAGAAAATATCTTCATATCATATAAAATTTCAAAAAGAAAAAAAAACACAGGAAGAGAACACAAATAAGGGTGTGTTGCACTCCTATTGGTGAAGAGTTGTGATGATTTGCAAGCAAGATGCAGTTGAACAACATTGATCTTGGGGTACATGGGAGCTCAAGGCTGGTGACATGCAAAATATTTGTGCATATAGAGGGTAGCACTGAACGAGAATAGCTATTTATGTGAGCAATTGTAATGTACCTTATTGTGAATTGATATAAACTATAATTCCTAAATCACATAGTAAATTTGGTAAGCTTTTTTTGTAAACATTAAAAGTAGGATGTACACAAAAAATACAAATTTCTAATAAAGTGTTTCTACTAAAGATTTGACTGCATGCAAGGTGAATTTCATGTTAAGAATAAAAATACTTTCTCATCTTACAATTTATATATTTTATTTGCATAACCTCTAGAACCTCTTAAATGAGTATCAAAAGTTTTTCACAGTAAATTTTATATTCTATCTATTATTTTCTCTACTCTAACATTAACAGTACATGGGCTCTGTCAACTTGACAAACCTTATAACAACCAGGTATTCATTTTATAAAGTGGACATCCCATGCAAAACATCTGTGGGGAAGCACCTTGACATACGTCGGATTATATCAAGTGCAGTCCATCTGGGCAGAAAACATCCAGTGGAAGCACCTTGTATGGTATTTTTTGTTTTATATATTGTACATAACAGACTGTGTGATCAACAAGTGCGGTGAGCCCAGGCAAAAACATCCAGGGGAAATGCCGTGTGAAATTACAGAGTATGCCAAGTGCAGTCCATCTGGAGAGAAAACATCCAGGGGAAATGCCGTGTGAAATTACAGAGTATGCCAAGTGCAGTCCATCTGGAGAGAAAACATCCAGTGGAAATGCCTTGCATTAGACTGATCAATTTATACCTTGAATGTAATATTTTGAGAAATCAACAAGTGCATCTGCCTAGGCAAAAATATCTGGGAAAGCGCTTGGTGATATAATATAGTATGTCAAGTGTGGTCCATCCAGGTAGAAAACATCCAGTGGAAGTGTCTTGCTTAAAAAAAAAATGTTTGTGAACAAAAAGTGAGGTCAACCCGGGAAAAAACATCTAGGGGAAAAGCTTTGTGTTTTATTGAGTATAGCAAGTGCAATCCATCATAATAAAAAATAGCCAGTGGAAGCACCTTGCATAAATTTGTATTTAATGGTCAACAAGTGCAGTCTACCCAGGCAAAAAATATGCAAGAGAAGCAACTTGGATTGAGCACATTATGATATTGTATAATATAAAATATAATGTAGAATGGGTACATATGACTTTGAAGTTTGTTTTATCATACATACCTCCATGGTACACCACCCCAGCAACTGGGAATTGAAAGTGGCAAGAACTCCCGTTCTCCATTAGAAGAAGTGAGGGGGATACACACTGGAGACAGTGCAATAGACGTCTGCAATTCCCTATTTTGAAAAGCAGAAAGACCCCCAATTGTAAGAATTACAGGTCAGTAGAGATGGGCAAGAATTCCCATCTGCTTTACTCATAAACTCCGTGAGTGATGGTCCTTTATAGAATTTCAACATCTGCCGTATTAAATCTCAACTTCACATGAAGAAAGCAAAATTCATAAACAGAAACATTTCTAAAACAAATTAATAGCAACAATGGGAATCAAACACAAGAAGTTGAAATTGATATAAAGTTGTGTTCAAGCACAATCAAAATCTTGTAGTCACATGGGGAATGAGTTAAAACATACACATATATACACGAGAATGCCAATCAACAAAGTGAGGATTGTGCTGCAGTATAGTATAGGTGGCACAGTATGACTGGTTGAGGGTACTCACATGATCAGCACATGTTGCAATGACACAAAAATGAAGGGGTATAAAAGACTGGAGCACTGTTGAGAAACTTCAGCAAAGCTTACGGGACAAGTCAAGGTCAAGATAGCTTTGGGTGACCAGATATAGTAACGTTTCAGAATAAAATCAAAGCATAACTAGAATTATACCTATACTGTAACATTTGTATATTCTTGGTTTACTTGTTTTATGTAATATTATGTTTATACATTATTACATAAATTTAACCTTCTCACTATGGGCTCAGTCCCAGGGACTGACCTCGTAACCATTTTGTGCTTGTTATAGTTTTCATACTACAACTTTTAATACAGTATGCATATCTTCATTTTGCAGATTATCAGTAAACATTACAAGGCTTTTTGAAACAAAATATCAGATTTTTCTAATTAAGTTTTAAGATTTTTTTATGTAATGCTTTGCTGGTGCATTTTTTTTTTCAAATATTGACTATCAACATGCAAAGTAATTTTGATTTTAAGATTAAAAACAGTTTTTTGAATCAGAAAATTGTCAAATTTCACATGTGAAATCATTATAACCTCCTAATAACCTCCAAATAATTATACAACGTTTTTTTTCACTGTTGTATCTCTGTATGGATTTGGTCGATTTAACTGACCTCATAACCACCATAGAAAATTAGGAAATAGATATAAATTACATTTTTTTGTTCTCGAATGACTACAAATTATAACATGAAACCACAAATGTTTAGTCTAAATAGCTTAAATTTCAAAACATTATATATATATATATATATATTATTTATATTTTAATGACCTTTCAACCATGTTTGACTAACAATAAAGAAGTTGCAATGATGCAGTGCACATCCACTCATATTAGTGTATCCAACAGTAAAAAATTGGTCTTTACAAATCGAACTGTTATGGCTCTGTTCTAGTGGACCAGTATTTTGTAAAATATATCCCCATTTTGGTTATAATACATTACATTCGTACATGTGTTATTACTATTTATGAATAAGATTTTTAATTTCAGTTATTTTAATTAAAACATAGAACATTAATTAAAGAAATAAAGAAAACAATGATCTTTTCTACTTGCAAACTTTGTAGTTGCTTGTCATAATTTGCAAAAGCTTGTCAAATTTCACACATGGAGGATGTAAAAAAAAACCACAAGTTACTATATCAATATCACAGAATTCCACTACAATTTATCAGGCTTATTAACTAAGCCTTATATGAGTCTAAAAAATATAATATTTTGAACTCCATTATCTCCTACCTTTCCATTTTGATTCTACCATGAAGAGGAAGGTTTTCTGGCACAAACACTTTGCAAAGGCTGAGAAAACCATGTTGGGGACATTCTGAGCTTTTGACTGAATATATACGTGTCAGAGAGCAAAGTAGGTGTACGTAAGCAAGTATTTCCAAAAATGGAAAAAGTGGGTGAAGCTACCTTGGTTGATTCACTAAATATAATATCTCAGAAACTAGAAAAGATAGGAGGTTCATATCTTACAGTCTAGCTTGTCAATATTGGAAATTTGAGTTTCTAATTCATAAGAAACTATAGACTTTGTATTTCAACATCTCAAATTTCTAATTTGAGCCAAAGCTGCATTCACCATACCACATGACACACAAAAATCGATATTCAGGATTTTTTTTCTATATTTACTTGTAAATTAAGAAATTAACTAATGTATAATACTTAAATTTGAATTATAATCCAAAATTTAATACCAAACTTACTGATATACATTCATAAAACAGTAGTTCAATAAAGTTTTGAATGTAAGTCTACAAATGTGATGACATGCCCTTTGACCCCTGACCATAGGAAGACCCATCGAGATAGGGTTAGGCTCTGCAAGACAAAACAATACTCATCTATAGCATTTGGCTTTATAAAGTAAATGGTAACATTAACCTTTTGATCAGTGACAATATCTTTTTTATTCGTACATTGAACATTCAATACCATGTGCCATAGTATTTACCATATAATTAATGATCAGAGCTGTAAATGGTTAAATGTATGTACAAGCATACAAATTCTGAACTCTTATTTAAATACTATATGTGAGTAAGAGTGCTGAATAGTCTAAATACAGTGTGAAACAGTGTACATGTGAAAGTACATTTAATAACTGGTTAGCTATATTTTGATACAAATCAAAAAGTAAAATTTCATCTCACCTGTTTAAGCAGTAATTCCTGCATCTGGTCCACTTTTTGCAATAATATTTCCATACTATTATGATCTGAAGTCAGCCTCCTCTGCATAATCTTTAAGGATCATTGAGTGATCGTATTAGTTTATAGAAATACACACACACACAGAACTATAATAAGTTATATTAGTGAACCCATTAAATACTGAAGCATGTAATCAGTTTAATGAGTTCTTTAAATATTATAAACATGTTAGCTGCATTCAACATGTGTATCTTAGAAGGAACTAACTTTTCTTCATCAAAAGTTTTAGGATTTTTTAGAGAAATTTGGAAAATGCTCTGGTTTAAAGTTATGATAAATGTAATCTGAATTGATACAAAAAATTAACAGTTTATTTTAAAAACTTAACAACAGTTAGAATGGGTAAATTATTTCAAATCCTTAAGTATAGAATTTTCAATACATAGTAATTCAAATGTTAATACTATTAAGGAACTATATCTTATGAAATGTTAATACTTACAGAAAGTTTAAAAAAAATTACCCATAAAATCACTGTCTTATAAAGTATACAGTCTGCAAAAAGTGTATGGATTTAAACTGCAATCATCAAAAATAAAAGTTGTTAGCATAATCTGTATTTATTATTTATGAACTATACAATAATATTTCTTGTTACCATTAAATATGAAACAATGTCTAGTAGGTGTCCACCACAAACTACTCGTCCATTACATTGTCTATGGCTGGTTTATATAAGCACTTTCCTAAAAGTAAAGAAGCCTGCTGCTGACAAATCTAGGAATTCTGGAGGCCAGTTTTAGGTCTCCATTACAAGAAATTACCCTGTTCAAGAACACTGCCATTGTTTCTCATACTGTGTAAAAGATGTCCCCATCTTGTTGAAGCCACAGTTCCAATTGATGACATGTTCAGAAAAAGCAACATTAACACCAAGTTCTCAACTGTATGTTATTTGGGCAAAGATGATGGACCGTTCATTTTTGAAATAAAGCTAAGCAATAAACGTATGCCACTGGATTGTCCACCTGTTCATCATTAAAACTCTGGAAGATTTAACTATATAACAACCCTACACTTCTTGTGGCAGACACTGTACAACACTACCAAATACACTTTATATTATAATATCTTTCACAAGCCTAATGGTAGGATACTTTATTCAATTGAGATGATAAACTGAAGGGAATATACTGAAAGTTAATGTTTTAAAGCCATCTATGAAAATCAACATTTAATTACCAATAAGAACTTTTTTTCTTGAAATTTTTAAAATTACTTGGATAGAAAATAAAGATCAACAAAAACAACAAGCTTTATATTTTACTTACTGAGAATAATACAAGAATAAAATGTATAACACAATATGGTAGCTCTTTAAAAACAAATATGACAAAATACTTCAATATGACTTTTAGAAAGATGTTTTCATAGTTTTGGGCACATTTTATGAATGTTAATGTACATCAGAAAACTGAGGTTTTGATAATACAAAAAAGATAACATATCTCAGTTCTTACCATAATGAGTCAGTCTATGTTCTGACTTTGTAATACCAAGGTAACCATAAGGGTTTCCAGTTTATAACTTTTAATATGCTATGTATATCTTCATGAAATTGGGCAAGCTTTCACTAAACAATAAAAGTCTGTTATAAAGAAAAAAACAGATTTTTTACTCATGTATTTGTACTAAGGACTTGTCTGTGAATATATGAAGTCAGAGTGTTGACTGCTTCAAGTGCAAAGTGATTTCCATAGTAAGGATAAAAATACTTTTCTTCATCTGACAATTTTCAAATTTCATTTGTGTAACCTCTAAAACCTGCTTAACAAATATCAAACGTTTTTTACAGTAAAACTTTATATTTCATTTACTCTTAACTCTGTATGGACTAAGTCGATTTAATCAACACTGTAGTCACTAGAAAAAAAGAAAGAAATATAAATTACCATTTTCTTCTTTCTTGAATGATTGCAAATTGTAACAGAAAACCAAAATTGTTTATCCTAAAAATGTAAAGGCTCATAACAGTCTACACCTGTTTAGACTTAATTTTATTGTTTATTGCCCTTTGAACCATGTCTGACTAATAATCCCACAAGGTGTAAATCACTCAGTAAGAGTATAGCTCGCTTTACCATATTGAATAAAATAATGCATAAGCTGCTCGCAAACATACTTAATGAAGAATTTTTATTTCTATTACTTTTCCATCAACTCACCTAATCTTAACTTACCTGACCTAGTATGTTTCTAATTTTTAGATTTTAGCTACTTTTATAACCATAAATGAAGAATATACATGAAAAACAAGAAACATAGTACTTACCTCTGACCTCTTGTTGTTTTGCTATTGGTTGCCAATGAAATTTAAACTAACTTTTTTTTTTATAATGATGGTACTAGTACACTAAATAATTTTTATTTACTTAAATACTATACCTAAGAACACAGAATAATAACATCCACAAAGCAAACATCTATCATAATTTAACTGACATTTTAACTAGGACAAGAGAGGCTTAAATTAATTTCTTTTGTTGCTCGATCTGAACCTCATGAGATACTCTTTCAAACTGAAGATGAAATTGACAATACTCTGTACTGAAAACAACATAGCATTATATATGTCATTTGATAGATCAAAACTCTGCTTTTCTATTGTTTATAAATGATATAGTATAAAATGTCAGGAAAAATTACTGGCAAGTTGTGAAAGAAAGGATGTGACAGATGAATATATCAAGTTAAATTCTGCACTTCAGGGAGGGATAGTAACTAAATAACAGGAGAGAGAAGATCTAAATAACAAATGTTACAATTCTCATATTAGGGAAGATTGAGGATTTTTTAAAATATTTCCTTATGAAATTAAGAACTTAAAACTTATACAATATTAAAATTTGACTTATTAACATTTTGATGCCAAGTTTACTCATATACATTGATAATAAATTGATGAGACCAAACTTCTCTATCAGAGAGAAAATAATGTTGTTCTCCTCATATTTCATTACAAAAATAAAACTAGCGAGTGAAATTGTATGAAAGAATATTTAAAAATATTTAATTTAGATTTTTTTCTACTTTTTCTAATAAAAACAGTTATTTAATGTAGTTATTTGCACTCAGACTTAGAATAGTTCACCTGCAAAGCGACTTTCATGTATAGTATAAAAATACTAATCATTATCTTACAGTTTTCACATTTCACTTACATAATCTTTAGAACCTCATAAATGATCAAATGTTTTTTTAAGGTAAGTGTTTATATTTTATTTCCCATTTTCTCTACAATATCCCTAACTAGCTATTATCGTCAATGTACAGTGCAATGAAATGTCTTAAAATTAAGAAACATAAATATGTACATACCTTTTAACTCTTCTTTAGGTTACATGTGTAATTTCACCTCCATCTTTTCACTTTTATTTTTAGTGTTTTATTTTCCTCTCCTGTTCTTTATCTTTGATTATCTATGTCAACATACACCAACAAGTACCCACAGGTAACATAACATTAACTTCAGCAAGACAGTTTAGCCACCCACCCAGTATAATATTTCTTGTACTCATAAGTTTGTCAAATCTGTTTTAGCAATTAAAAGTATAGAATAATTTTAATAAATCATTAAACCTTTCCAATATAAATTTTAAAATGCAAATAATACATAATTAACTAAAATATAAAAGTAAAACCTAAATGTAATCTGTCTATCAAACTACTACATATAAGATGAGAAAAAACTGTTAAGTCCTACAGACAACAGTCTCAACAATGGAATTATATTCATTTCACCCCGTTTAAAAATGGATGTATAAATGCACGTTTCCTGTTACAGTAATGACCTTCAAGAGTAAAATCTGCACTTTCTATTGGTTATAAGCATGCCCTTCAACTTAAAACTGTCACTTAGCAACACAGCTTGTACTTCGCAAGTGGGCATGGCATAGTTTGAACTCGGGAATTTTTACAATGGTTTCTAGGAATATGTATCAAGTTACTGGTAAATGAACTGCATATATATGTAGTTTATTGCCAGCAAGAAAAACTTTTTAACTATAGTCGTTTCTTGTATAATAAAGTCTAAAGTTCAGTTGCTTATCTACTTGCACTTCAAGTGAGAGCAAAACTTAAGTTTTAATTATTGTTTTAGTAGTTTCTTTTGAAATAAAGGATTAAAAACTTAAATAAAATAAGACTCTGAATATAATGTACTTGATAAAAATGTGGTTTTGGTACAATTTCTATTTTAAAATTTAAAAAAGGTTACTTCCAAAACAATTACACGAGCTTCTTCTAACTGTGTCCTTGTGTCTCGGGTTTGTTTGTTGCTTTCAGACAGTTGTTGTTCTAGCAGCCAATTCATTTGCTGCAGTGCTTCAATTTGTTCTTGTTGGAGTGTTCTTTCCTGTTGGAGATTCTGAACTTGGGTTCTAAGTGAGTTAGCATCAGATGGCACCTGTTGGAATGATCTGTGCAACTTACTAGCTTCTGGTGCTGAAGATTGGGGTGCGTTGTTAAGAAGCATATGTATAAGACCACCTACAAAAGAAATGTTGAAGTTATTTCCTTATTGTCAACCACCACTGGTTAGACCATAGATATTAAGTAATCCAGTATATGTTATAATACTAAAAGGTTTATTAGCAAATAACTATTTTAATACTCACAGTAATCATATCTTGAAAGTGAAACAAATGAACAACTATAAACTACAAAAGTAATGCACATTACCTTCCATTTTCTGACATAAGAAGCAGGAAGTTGTCACCAGTATTTTCCTTAACTAAATATTGCTTAAGTTAATTAGAAACTACTGTACTGCTCTACTTGTTACACACAAATTGCTTAATATATTAGAAACCAGTATAAAAGCAAATAAAAAAGCCATTTATATCAGTGTCAAAGAACTGATTCATATATTATCTAAAATATATTCAACTACTGAAAGAGAATAGGGTGATACTGTATTAATGAAATATACATGCTCATATATATATATCTACAACAAAACAATCATTAATAAAATTTTATATTTAATATAAAGTTTCATTCAAGGTAAAAAATTTTCTGACTGATCTTATCACTTCAGAGTTGAGGCATAAATATTCCACACGTGTTCTAATGTTCACCAATAACTCAATGAGACTGCATCATGAACTTTTTTGTTATAGCATATCAAATGACAATTAAGTTGCAGAAACATTAAAGTAAAACACAATCTTGTGGTGATAAGACATCAATCTAAAATTAAAGTTACTCTAACATTTGACTTTTTAATCAAGAGACTGCAAGAAATACTTTATAAAAAATTTATACTTAGACATAAAAATGGTAAAAATCATAACAAAAACAATAATGAAGACAATATATATATATTCACCTTCAATAAATTCAAAGATAAGAAATGGTTGCAGTTAACACTGAGGTTATAATTTAAATTTTCTTCACTGTGATACTTTATCTTGTGACTTCAAACTACACTATTCAAGAAAATATTTCCACTACCAACTACAAACCAACTGTTTATCTGAATAAGTTATTAAAAACAAAATTAGTGAAAAATTATGTGTAGAGAAAAGCTAAACCAAACCTTCCATTGTATCAATTACTCTTATATTATTGGTAGGCATAACTTTGGTTACTACTGTATGCATAGTTATTATTACATGATTATTCACTTGAAGAATTAGTATGGTGGTGTTATTTCAAAAGATAACCTCCAGGCAGATATTATTTATTCAAAAACATGTAAACCTGCTTAAACTGGGTTAAAACCCATTATTTTCAGAACCAGAAACATATATCAAACATTAAATATCTGGTAATCTGGTCTTGTTCTGTCTTCAAAAGTAAAGAGTTTCACTCTTGCAGTATGATACTAAAATTAACAAGTTATTTGATACTCAAACTTTGAATTCCAAACATAATTACAGGAATGGTAAGTCAAACTTAAAAGAAAAATTTTTCAGGTTGAAGCATTAAATAACCAAAAGGATTATTTCAGTAGATTAATAAGACTTCTTAAGAAATCCAACATGAACCAACTGGTTTCATTACACTGGTACTGAATCGTCACTGAAGGGTATGCAGCATTTCTCAACAGCCACATCTGATGGTCATGTATCTGCACACATTATATACCATTTAAACAGCTATTTTCCTTTGCATTTTTTATTCAGACAATCCACATACAGGTAGAAGAAGAAACAATGTAGGTAAAATACCTCAATTTAGGAGTAATTAAATAGCTTTCCTAAGGCAATAGTTAAGTTTTCAACAATGAATCAAGTAAGTAGCCAAATTATTCCTTTATACAGTAGATCAATATGGTTTAATTATTTAGGATGAAATTTTTAAGAGATTATACAAGAGCTTTTAGTCTAGAGTCTAAACAAATCTTTCCCAAACAATGCAATGTGATTATTATGCACCATGTCTACACTTTAACCTTATAAAAGTAATAGTTTCAAATATTTTTGAAATTCCTTTCTTTTCTGCACAGTTCTGAATGATATAATTACTTTTACCTACCACAACACTAACAGCTATTTATTGTACAATAAATATGTTTGGTAGAAATAGCTTAAGCAAAAATGTTTTCTTAGTAGTTTATTTGCATTAAACTAGAACATAACAATATTAGAGTCAAAAAGAATAATCAATCCCATGTCAATAATCAACCATACGCTTCTCAGTTGACTCTAAAAGAAAAGGCAAGTTTTGATACACAAAAGCTTATTCATATTTTTAGGCCTGAAATAAGAAATAATTTATATTTTTAATTACAGAAACTCAATTTTTTGTAAAATGAATTTGTATTTTCTAAAGCCCTGTATATTAATCTAAAAAAAAAAAAAGTGTTCAGAAAATGTTAAAAAACATTTCTACAGTTTGATTATAATAATTGTTATTACAGATTATTACACCTCAATATCCATTTTCTGTTACACAAAAGCTGATTTTAGCATCACATCTTTCCTTTCAGTACTATATACAGTAGATCATATACTTTAAACTATTTTATACATTTTAGAAATACTGATACCTAATTTTTCATCAGGTGATTCAGAAATAATTGGACCAGACATAGCTCCTAGAGACACATCTGGAGGGTTGGACAACCGAGAAGAAAGGACTAAGTTTTCTCTACCATTGCTTAGATCACTTTCACCTTGACTGAAATCTGCCAAGGATATGTCAGGAGGATTTGACAACCGTGATGATTGAGCAATATCACATGCACCTGCTAAATCATTACTGGGAACCTGGTAGTTTGCTAGTGAAATGTCTGGAGGATATGGAGTTCTTGACTGTTGAATTGATACATTAGAAACAGCAGCATTAGTTGAAGTAGGATAGTGTTGTGAACTAGTAGCTGCTACTAACCAGGGCTCATCTAAAGGTTCTGAAGAACAAACTGGAGGAGATGAGGTATCATCAACTGATGTAGCAGAACTATTCTGAACAGGAAGCAGATCTAAAAAAATGGAACAAAATTGTTTGTTTACTTCTTCTTCTTTGTCAAATTTCTTTCATTTAATATATGTTCTATTGTTCATTAAGAATTCATAAAAAACTATCTTCAGTCATGAAAAATTTAATAACTGAACAAGCATTTTTAATAGAAATGATTAAAATTCATGAGATATACAATTAATTGCACTAATGTAGAAACACAAGTTTCACAGATATGATACAGGATTTCAAAATAAAACAAATGCACTGCACAGCAGAATTTACACATCAGTCAGTTTTACAATAAAAAACTAAATAATGACACAAATTGTTTACACTTTTAGAATGAAAATGAATTTCAAACAGGTACTTATCTCTCAAATACTGAAACTCTTTTCTTCTTTCTGAGATTGAATTCATGCTGTCAACAAGATATATGATAAAAATTTCCAAATGTCCCTTACACATTGCAGAGCATGTGTTACTTACCCATAATTCTTCACTTTCCCACTTTCCACATGACTTATTGTGCAATGTCAATGGATCACAAATAAGGTCTGCTTTCCCATCATAGCTCATATTTTATTGAAAATTGCAGTAATAATTAAATCTGAATTGCTGGAAGGCAGGGTAGAAGATATTTCACAGAGAATTGCCTGTTTGAAATTCATCTTAATTCTAAAACTGTAAAAGTCAAGTCAGGTACACTTACTTCTGAGATACTGAAAGCCAGAATATCCACATTGTAAGGGAGGTGGGAAATAATGAACAAGAAAAGAAACCAAAATCATAAACTAAAAGCTACAGGGCAGGAAGATAATAATCTAAACTACAAGAAATGTGTAACCAAATAGAGTATGAATAGAATCCAGAACCAGTAAATTATTTGCAGAACTGGATTCCAGAGTGAAGGATTCGAGTAGACAAGCCTTATAAAAAGACTACATAAAAGGACACTTAGAAAAGAAGACATTTTCCTCAGCTAGGCATTTCTTTGCCCATAACACTCCTTAATATAGGCAAAGAAGTCGATTTTGTGAGGAATAATGGTGTATTGAATCTGTGGAGCCAACAATGGGATACACATGTAGTGGCATAAAAAGGTGGAGTAATGCCATGTCCTGCTCCTGCAATAGAAGATTCTGGAGGGAGCAGTTCTAATACATATTTGAAAAGGACATACACCAAAGGCAGTAATCTCCCTTTTATCCATATTGGAAATTACCAGTGAGCCACATAACTGGCCAAATTCTTAGGCACTCAGAATCAAATATAAACTCAAGCAGTCCCCAAAGATAGGCTCAATAATGAAAGGGCAGTGAAACAGGAACAGGGGAAATTGTCTACTTTATGCATGTTATTATTCTATGTTCTTTGATGCATTATTTGATTAAATAAAAATTATTTAGTGCATTACTACCATTAGTATAAAAAAGTAGAGTTAAGCGTCATCAACGGTTGACAGCAGAAAAAAAAAATTCAGTATAAGTACTTTATTTCTTGTTTTTCATATTTATTCTTTATTTATTACTATAAAAGTAACTAAAATGTAAAAATAGAGATCTCTTTTGGTTAGTTATGGTTAGATGAGGTAAAATAAATAATAATAATAATATAATTAAAATGTTTCACGAGGCACACATGCAAGCACCTCGTGGGTAAGGTAATTCGATAGCGTAACATGAGCTGCACGTTCCCCAACTTACAATGGCACGAATAGTACTTAGACATGGTTCAAAGGGCAATAAATCAATAAAACTTAATTATAAGTAGTTGTATAGTGTTATGAGTTTAAAGCTACTTAGGATAAACAAATGTAGTTTTATATTACAATTTGAAGTCATTTCAGAAAGAAAAAAAGGGTATTAAGATTTATTTCAATTTTATTTTGGTGGTTACGAAGTTGGTCAAATTGACCAACCTTGTATAGAGTTAGAATAGAAAAAATAACAGATAAAATATAAAGTTTTACTGAAAACAAACATTTGAAATGTATTTAGGTTTTAGAAATTACACAAATGAAATTTGAGATGAAGAAAAGTATTTTTTAATCTTAATCACCTTGCACACAGACTTTTTTTAGTTTATTTAAAATACTTCACTAAAAAATGTGAACTTTTTGTATGTAAAAGACTTATGATGTTTACTGAAAGACTGCTAAATTTTGTGAAGATATGCATACTATATTAAAAGTTAGTAGCATCAAATCTGTAAAGACTTTAAATGAGTACAAAGAGGTCACGTGGTTTGTCAAATCAACTGAGCCCATGTTGAGAGAGTTAATGATTTAGAAAAAGATAAGAAATCAAATTCTGAAGACACCAAGTCTTAAAGATAGAACATGAAGTTGGTATACTGCCAAGAATTAATAACTGCAAGAATTTGACAACATTCGAACTACCCAAAAGAAGAAGCCAACTTCACTAACAAAGGACAGCATAACCAGACCAGAAATAGGTTATAAAATAAAAAATAATTCTACCATGAGAAAAACAAAAGTGAGTAATTGCAGACATGCAAATAAGTATTTGAAATCTCCATTAGTCATCCAAAAATCTTAACAAAAGAGCTTTAATAAGATTCTCATAAGTTCCACATGGAAAGAAGGAATCTCTAAATAACAAACAAGAGTGAATATCAGTTTCATCTCCCATAGCCTTTGACATCAAAAGGTTCAAAACTGACAGAACCAAATTAAATATAAATTGGAAGAGTCAAACGTTATGTATTTCCTTCATAATTATATATCTCAAAAAGGAGGACAGTACATCATCTACACCCGCAGAACATCACTGTCCTACTGTGCACTGAATGGTTATAGCCAATTTTGTGTGGAACCCATTCAGAAGGGTGCCTCCATGGTCAACCACCCCAGCGGCTTTGAACTGGAAAGTGTTAAGGACTCCCATACTCCACTAGAAGAAAGGAGGGTGAAAAGGCAGTGGAGAGTCTGGAGAAATGTCATAACCTCAGACAGTGCAATGGGTGACCAAGAAATCCTATTTTTAAAAGCAGACCATACCAAGCTATTCAGTATGGCAGGGATGGGCAGCTATCCCCTTTTGCTTTACCCATGCAGTCCATGGCTGGTACAGCCCAGGACGTGCATGTATTTGAAGCAAAATATCACGAGGTTATTCACCTACAAGAGATTACAGCTAAGCCATGAATATAAAGCGTGAATCAACATGGCTGTACAGTGCAGATTTCAAGTTAAAGAATACCTGGTTAGGCACCACTCGCCACAGAGCGGGATCCATATAATGAGGAATGAGAAAAAAGGCCCCTAAAAAGAAAAGAAAGTACGAATAGAAACTTACCAGTCAAAGTTGCACCGAAGTCTGAAGAACGGCCAAAGGTGGAAGACAAAAACCCGACAAAGAGGAAACTGCGATATGATGTAGATAATGGGAGACATGCCTGATTGAAGAATGTCCTCCAATGGACAACGAAGATGAGAAAAGGTGAAGTGTCTAATCTGATGAGAAGATACCCAGAACAAATTCTGGAAGGAAGAAGGTAAGGAGGAATAACCCAATCGGATCAAATGTTAGATCCAATTGGTAAGTGTTGAAGGTGAATGATCACGAGGAGAGGAAGACTGCCATGGGATAAAGAGTTGGGAACTGGTACCATGAAAGGAAGCCGTATGGGCAATATAACAACAAAGAGCCCTGACCAGACACAGAAGCTGATCTGGATCCGGTCGAGGGTGAAGATAAGAAATGGAAGGAAGGTAAATAGGTGAAAAGGAGGAGCTACCCTACCGAGCCACCAAGGTCTTTGGGAGGAAAGAAAGATCCGAATAAAGGAAAACAGAGGTAGGGTGATAAAGTGTACGTGAAACATCAATGGAAAACATATCTAACCATAGATGTCCAAAGGCTAAGAGGAGAAGGAAATATGTTTTGAGGGAAAGGTAAAACACAGAACAAGAAAAAAGTGATTCAAACGAGGGTAAAGTGAGGGAATGGAGTACCACATTAACATCTCAATCCAGAAGGGTAGGTCACCTGGATGGGCAACACAACTGGAAGGAACACAGTAGCATGGTAAAGACAGGTGAAGTAAAAATTTTATGGTATTGGGAAAAAAATATGGGATAAAGCTGCCCAATAACCCAAAAGCGAGGAAACCAAAACCCACAGTCAAAAACCCAAGTGAGAAATTCCACCACCCAAGCCATAGTAGGCCGGTCAGTGGGAAATCCAGAGTTGTAGACCAACTGCAGAACACCTTCCTTCCACTTGTGCTGATACACCTCCATGTAAGAAGAACAAAGGGAACCATCTAAAATGAAAGCAACTCGATGGGAGAAACTGGATCTCCTCACCAAGGACCAGATAAAAGCCAGGCGTGAAAATGCAGGATGTGAAGGATGGTATGTAGGCCAGTGGACGAGGTTGACGAAGAAGGCAGGGAGATTATGGAAAAGGTACAGAAGGGGAGAGTAGCAGGTGCTGTAACCGTCAAAACCATGGCTGAGCTGGCCAATAAGGAGCAATCAGAACAACCAGACAAGATGTGGTATGGATGAGAGAGATCCCCTGATGAAGTAATCTGATAGGAGGATAAACATAAAGATATTTGTGGGATCAATCTTGGCTGAAGGCATTGACTGCTAGAGCCTAAAGATGAGGGATTGGTAACCAAAAGAGAGGAAACTTGTGACTGAGGCTCATAGCAAAGACATTAATGTGGGGAGAACCCCACCGAGTTAAAAGCTCCCTGCATACAAGGGGATCTGAGGACCACTGTGTTGAATATATCTGGTCATGACAGGAAAAACAATCCGCAATAAGACTGAAAGCACCTGGTACATGACACACAATGAGATGAATGTGTTGCATGTGGGCCAAGTATAAATGATCCAATGTCCAAAAACATAGATCTCTTGACTGGGCACCCTCTTAGTGATTGATATGTGTCACCACCATAGAATTGTCTAAATGAACCATCACCAGACAATGTCAGGTGATAAGAAGGAAGTGATTCAACACCCAAAGTACAGCTTGAAGTTCGAGAACATTGACATGCAAAATGTTTTTGTCCAAAGACCAATGGCCCTGGTGGTTGACCCATGCACCTCAGCCCTGCAGGGATGCATCTGTAAAAAGATGTAGATCCAGACACGGAGGAGGAAGTGACAAGCCCGCTGAACTATTTGCCTTATCCAACCACCAAAGCAGATCATCTCGCAGGGTAAGAGGAAGGGTAATGAGAGTAGAAGAGGATCCCACACAAGGTTCATTTGAGTATGAAGAGTCCACTGAAGGGATCTCATGTGGACACAACCGAGAGAGACCAGTGATGTCATTGAAGATGTCGAGCAAATGTTCGGACCACCCAACAGAAAACATAAGGGGTCCAAGCAAGCCTGAATGGTATTGCTCAAAATTGATAAACCATTCCAAGATGGACAAACCTAAGATAAGGATGAAACCTATATGATATAGGTCTATGGAGATAAGCATTGGTGACATCCATAAACCTGGAGAAAATGCCCACCTCTGGGTGAGAAAAGACTCCATGGTAAACCGGGTCAGGTGAATGAGGCGGTTGAAGCAAATCTATGACTGACCTCCAGTCTCCAGCTTTCTTGGGAACAACAAAAAGTCAGGAATAAAAACCTGTTTAAGAATGGAAAGCAGGTTTAATGGCCTGCTGAGATAGCAATTCCTGAACCACTTTTGACAGATGCTGACTGGTCACGTTATCCCAAGGAGGAGGTAAGGAAAATGGGGAAAGGAATCATGTGAGGTGGGGGAGGGGAAGGGGTTCATGAATCCTTCTGATAAAACCTGAAGAATCCATTGGTCCTCGATGAAGGAATACCAATGATGAAGAAAATTGGCAAACCGAACTCCCACCAGACCAGAACCCACTGGATAGTCACTGGTACTGTTGGCAACGTAAGGTGCATCATAAACAAAACAAAAAAAACGATGAGAAGAGACACCCCTGCAAAGAAGGCACAGGTAAGGGTTGGGAAAGGGAAGGACAGGAAATAGTAATAGGGGACATATGAGGCTCTGACTGAGACAAACGTGAAACAATATTGGTAAGGGTAGATTGTTGTTGGACCAATGCCACCCCTGGCTCTAGTGTTTCTCGGATCATGTCAAAAACGTATCACCCAAGAAATAGGGCCATACGTAAATCCAGAAGATAAGTCAATGGTAAATGGACCCAAGCCAAAATCGCATCACAACCTAAAATGTCCCAGAAACAGAGAAACCACATATGTAAAGCCAGAGCCAAGGACAACAAATGAGCTAGTATGGAGGAAAGAAGAGAAAGGGTATCCCCAGAAAACCCCTTCAGGACTTTTGTAGAAAGCATCAGAGATGAGATGTGGAGAAGAAAGATACCATAAAAGAGTTGTAAGGGTAAGATTCAGATGAGAAAACTGGGCACGGATCAGACTAACAGGTTAATCAAGAGCCATTTCCAAATAGGCAATATGGAACCTAACAATGGGACCAGAAAAGGACAGTCAGCACAATGGTATGAAAGCACGAATTGCTCTGAAGCCCACAGGGGGCGAGGCACACTAGTATCATCTCTTAATTGTGAGGCAAATTGATCAGCATGAACCCAAATATCAGGAGAGGGAGGACCAAAATGGGGTGGGAGGATTGGACATGTAGTAAAGAAAGACATGGCTCAAATGAAATATTAGAAAGGGATAAAAGATCATATACCTGAGAAACAGAATTCAAAAAGACCGAATTAGGCCTAACCAATTCCTCAGGTAGGGGATGGGAAGGTATGGCAAAATCAGGAGGCGAAGGCCCATGCAACATTCAATCTCCTGGGAGATAAACGAGAATAAATCCACCATCAGGTCACCCACACCTGAAGGCTGAGAAAGAACGCTAGTTGTTGGTGTAACCCCCAAAGTGGTAACGTGAACTTCAGAATCCATTGTGAAAAGTCCACCAAATTCGAGCAGTGAATTTAGAAAATAATGCAACTGGAACTAACTAATAACATTTTTTAAAGTGAAGAAACTGTCTGAATGAAACTCAATAAATTAAAGAAAACCACTTCGTGAAAAAAGTTAAGTCAAACATGAATCATTCAACAAACAAGAAGCACATCTGAACACAAGCATTGCCAAACAAGAAGTGATAGTTCTGTAGATGAGTATAAAGGGAGTCAGATGCATCAGGTGAGCATGTCATGTTCTTATTGGCGGGGAAGTGATGCATGATGATTTGCATGAGACACACGTTGGGGATTGCATAAAGAAAAAGTTCACATATAGAGCACAGCACCAAACTGAAATAGCTAATTTTGTGAGAGGAGGGAAGTACCATTTCGGAATCATATGATTAACAGAAGATTGAACTGAAGCATTTGACAAACCAAAGAAAATTAAGTGTATGCTCCACAGATGAACAAATATCTAAGATGGCACCAAAAAGTTGAAGATATAATCTGGAAACCTATCAATGAATGAGTCATATAGACCCACTTTGCTTACCTCAATGCTAGGTTACACATCAGTAGGAGCAGATGTAGCGAGCATCGAAAGACATCATACACAGAAATCCAGATACCTTGCAACACAGCCCCTACAGACCATAAGAGCCACTTGGTAATAGAAATAATAGCAGTTAGACCCAGAGATAAAGAATGCATAAAAGAATATATGTGATTCAGGGATAGTGTAGAATTATGGGTAAGTGATGCATGCTCTACAATGAATAAAGGACATTTTTAAATTTTTACATTTTGTTGGCACCAAAAGTTCAAACTCAACAAGAAAAGCTTTCAATATTTTAGAGGCATGTCTATCCAATTTGAATTAACCATTTTCAATTATACATCAAAAATTTAAGTACTTAAAATGGGTGGAGCACTACATCTAAGGCTACACATTAAATGGTCTGAACATGTAAGTGCACTTCTAACATTAAACTTCACTGGTATCATGATATTCACTGCATGTATCTTTTTGCTAAATTACATCATTACAAATTACCAAACTGTTTCAAAACTCATTTGTTAAAACAATATATGAAACAGAGGCAATCTGAAATACTAAAGATCGAAGTCTACAAACTTAGAAAATAATAAATATCTTACCTGGAAATGTAGCCCAAGGAGAGGGTGCTGGCTGAGCTTGTACAGGCTCAAGTGGTGTTCCCTAAAAAACAAAATAAGTTAAAAATGAATAATATAAATTCCAAGAAAAATACATATTTCTGATTGTTCATAAAGATATATACTTCTTAGTCAATAACTACAAATTACTCTTCCATATGTGTGGTATACAAACATGTCATGCATGTTTAACCTTATCATTTTAACCCTATGGTCCTGGTGCCATATTTAAGTTCCTTTCTGTGTATGTACTGTGTTATATTCCAAATTTAATTAAACCACTTTATTTTCAATATATACTAATGAAATTGACATTATAATGTATGTTATAATTTGAATTTTTATGTTATCTGAGTTATAATTCTCTTACTTCAAAGGAAACCTTTCAAAAAATACTTACAAACTTCAGTTTTCATTCATTAACATGGTGTACAGAATAAATTAATACTATTAACAGTCAATCTACAAACATTAACACTGACACTTTTAATGTACATGTAAAGTGCACTTGGTTTTGTCTCCATTAATAATCTCTGACTGCTGTGTATGGTAGAACACCTTTTTTATCATCACTCTGTATAAAATTGCCAATATGTAAATACATTTGCAGTACTGCTACAAACTAAATGTAAGAATTCTAGCATGAGGTCCAGATGATAGTACTTATTCAAAAATGGATGTGTACTACAAGTACATAGTAATATATAAAAACACAAAACATCAATTGCAGCACAAGTACCTCAAAACCTTCAAATTCACCAAATTCATCATCATTAGCAACTTCTCCAACTGTAGCTTCTGGATTTTCAGCCATCTTTGAAAACTTTAAATGTTAGATTATGGAACTTAGATTAGTTGTGATATTTCACTGAAATTAACAAAAAAACAATTTCTTCACTACACTTCAACAAAAAAATTACAATGTTTAAGGAATATAATAAATTTATATATATATTATACACATATACTGTATTATCAAAATTATCTAAGTATTTATAAATTCTGAAAAGGCTTTGAAGCTTTTGGCCTTCTGTAATTTTGTGTCAGTGTGTAGTTGTAATACCAAAAACTAAAGTGCATTTATGTCGCACCCTATGCATATGATTATATGTCCATACAATCATATAAAATTTATTTTGGATAGTAGTATACATGCCATACATGTTTTGATCTACATTTACACCCTTTGGATGCTGATATTCTTAAAAAGTAAAAATGTATATGTTTTTATCAACCATAAAATTAAACTTTTAACAGCACATTGATCTTAATATCAAAGTTTCCATTTTATTACTTTTTCTAATGTGAATGCTTAATAGAGCAGTAAGTCTCACATGCATAATACTTTTATAAAATAACTGCTAGGAAAAGCATTTTCCTTGATTTTCTAAATAATAATTTCAATCTTTTTAATGATTTAAAATTTAAGATATACTATTAAATGGTAAATACTTAAGTTTATGTTTCTAGGTGTAACCTATTGGTTAGCATACCAAGATACAAATCATAGGGTCTAGGGTTTGAAATATTTGAAAGCTTTTGTAAAAATCTAATATTGACAGATTTGTATAATATATCTGATGAAAACATGCAATAAACATAAACAGGCCCTAAGTTAATATAAACTGATCTGGAGCAAAGGGCAGATTTTGAACTTTAAAAGTTTGAACCTTCCATAGTATTAATTTGCATAATTTATTGATGATGTCACCATAACTAGCTAACTCCTAATCATATTTAATTAAAAACCATTTTATTTTATACATAATTCATGTAAATGAAATAAACCATTCTTTTAGTTTAACAATCCACTATGTAGAACAGTGTAATAAACTTAAAATAAGATCCAAACCTCGAGCACTTTCGATTAGTTGACTATTCTTCTTCAGGAGAACAAAGAAGAAGAATAGTCAACTGTTC